CCCTTGGTGCAGTCTCTTGGCCCTAGTCTTGACTGACACAACAACACTATGGTTTTTCTCACTTTCTCATCTTCCCCAGATAACCCGGGCCATGGTGGCTGCCCGGGCCTTTATCCAGGGCTTGAAGACTGGAAGAGATGTGGTCAGTGAAGCACTTAAGGTTAGAAGGTGCTTGAGTGTGGGTGGGGCTCAGGGAGGGGGAGGGGGAGGTGAGGCCCCATGAGGAAGAGTCAGGTGCCAGCTGGCAGAAGAGACCTGGAACTTTCCCATATCAGCCTCAAGGCCCTGCCATCCCAGGGTGAATCAGAAAGTGGGGGGAGGGGGGAGGGGGGGCAAGAGTGAAGTCTCCCTTATGTCATGATTCATGATCTCCTCTCACCTCTGACCCCTCTCTTGCCCTCTGATGACTCATAACCCCTGCCAGCCTCTGGGGGCCTGTTCATCTCCATAGCATTCTGAAATGGGAGTACTGATCCTCCAGTTTCCTCCAGACCCCTCAGTGGCTCCTCCTTTCCTGCTACTGAAGGCCAGATTCCTGACCTGACCTTCAAGGCCTTCTTTCTACCATCTGTTCTCTCCCTGACCTCCAGTCTATCTCCTGCATCCTCAGTTCCATCCTTCTCCAGCCGTGATGGGCTCACTCTTGTCTCTAAACCCTTTCTCAGGCCCCACTGTTCCATCACTCCCCAAAAGCGGTATCTGCAACCTGGCTCCTAGGAACTTCCCTCCACGGTCTTTTGGGAGTCTCACCTGCTGCCACATGGGGTCACCAACCCTAGCAGTCCCCTTCAGCTTTTAACACAGGGCCTGGGAAGGTAGGGTGGGATATTTGATTTCTCTCTGTGCCCAGCACCACACTTGGCTGAAGGCAGCCTCAGTGTTTGTGGATGACATAGCCCAACTCTCTGCCCCCAGGTGCCCTTGTCCGAAGGTTGCAGGCGAGCTGTGATGCGTTTGACTGGCTGCCCCTTCTGTCGGGGGGTCCCCCTGCTGCCACCTTGCCGGGGCTTCTGCCTCAACGTGGCCCATGGCTGTCTCAGCAGCCAGGGACTGGACCCTGACTGGGGGGCCTATCTGGGTGAGGACTCAGGAAAGCCTGAGAAGGCTGTCTGTGTAGGGGTGAGTGGGATAGACTAGGAGGGATTTTTAAGCCATATTGAGGGGAAGCATGGGGGGAGGGGCCTCATTTGAGTCTCCCCCATCTAACACCTTGCTGCCTAGGCCAGGATTTGTGGAAACTTCCTAGTTTAGTTAGTACCTCCCTGGCTATCCCCTCATTTCACCCTTTGTCTTTCTCCCCCTCATTCAAGATGGTCTCCTGTTCCTGGCTGAGAAGATCCAAGGACCCTTTTCCTTTGAGCTGGCAGCCCAGGCCATTGGGGTGAAGATCTCAGAAGGTTTGATGTATCTTCAGGAAAACATTGTAGGGGTGTCTACCCAGGTACAGGAGCCTTGAGGAGCATGGGAATGTTCGCCTGGGGGCTGGGAGAGACAGAATAGGGGTGTCAGCTCTAGTATAGGAGAGAGAAGGGTGGAGGCAAGGGACTGGAGTTGGGGGACAGTGTAGGGCATCTAGGGCAACCTGGATGTCAGGGGAGATTTAGGTGTTGGAGTGGGGATGCAGTGTGTTTCACCGTGTGTGGGGTGTCCTTGTGCCACAGGTGTTTCAGGAATGCGGGGTTCCCCCAAAGGCGATGATCCGTGCCCGCCGAGCCCCAGCACCCATAGAAGAAATGGGCCGGCTCTGGACCTCGGCAGCAGGGGTAGAGGAGGAGCGGCCCACGACAGCTGCAGGCAACAGCCTGCCCCGGATGGTGAGTGGGGGAGCAGACCACGTGGGGGGTGTTGGGCCGGTGCGCATGCTGCAGCTCCACCTGCTCTCTTTGCTCGCCCAGGTGTGGGAGCTGCGTGAGCGGCTGGGCCGTGTCCGGGGCTTTTGGGCCGGGCTGCCCCTGGCGGTGTGCGGGGACCCCCGCATGGCAGCGGACATCGCGCAGGAGGCAGCGCCCTGCTGGACCGGAACCGGGCGGGGCCGGTGAGAGCCGGGCAGACTGGGGGGGGAGGCTCGAACCCGGGGGCGGTGAAGACCCGCAGGGCAGGGCAGGAGCCTTGGGGGCTGCTCTACTCGCAGGTACTTGTTGCCAGTGGTCGGGGACTCCCTGACCCAGCAGCTCGACAATCCAGAACTGGACATGGAAGCCTCAAACCCCGACCTCCAAACTCGGACACGGCGGCTGCAGCTCCGATCAGCCACAATCAAGATGAGGGCAGCCGCCCTGGGACGTGACCTAGAACTGGAGGACTGGGGTGAGACGTGAAACCCGATACCCCGAGGTGGGGGCAGGGGCGGCTGAGGGCTTCCTCCTCTGGCTGCTTGGGATTGGACCCTGGCCCCGCCCACTGGTTTCTGAGTCCCTCCCCTCGCATCTCAGTTGTCATTAATTCATTCACACATTCATTTTACAACCATGTATTGAACGCTTACCTCAAAGGTTAGGGGTAGAAGACCAATATGAGAGAAGGTCTCTACCCGTGAGTTCACGTTCCAGTCGAGGAGACTCCAAAACATTCTTACAGAACAGTGGAAGGACTGTGGGAGATTGGAGAGGGTGGGCCATCCCCTATGCTTCCCGGATGGCCCGGGAAGTGGAAGTGGGGAGCCAGGTGGGATGCCATTAGGCTGGCTTCCCAAAGTAGAGTTTGTCAGAGAAGCAAGGCAAAGACATTAATTTTCTTTCTCTCTTCCACTGTCAGATATCTGTCTCTATATCTCTTTGTCTTTTCTGACCCCCTTTCTCCTTATGCTCTCTCCGCTTCTGTGTACTTGTTTTATCCTATTTATCCCGTCTCTCCATCCGTCTGTCTTTTCTGTCTCTTTTTCTGTCTCTCATTGTTATCCCTCATTCCCATGTCTACTTGACCTCTCTCTCTCTCTCCTTGCCTTCCTGTCACTGCCTTTTTTCCTCCTCCCCATCTACCTACCTATGTCTCTCTTTCTCCTGCCACTCTCTTTCTTATCCTGTTTTTTGTTGTTGTTTTGTTAATCCTTACCTGAGGATATTTTCCCATTTATCTTCAGATAGAGTAGGAGGGAGGGGAAGGGAAAGGTGAGAAAGAGAGAGAGAGAGAAACATTGATGTGAAAGAGACACATCAACTGGTTACCTCCCACATGACCCCACCCAGGACCGGGGCCCAACTGAGGTACGTGCCCTTGACCAGAAATGAACCCTTGATGCTTTGGTCCAAGGGTCGAGGGTCGACGCTCTAATTGCTGAGCCAAATCCTATTTTTATCTTGAGTTTTCTTCCTCCCTCTTTGTGTCTGTTTTTGTTTCCCACTGCCTTTTTTACCCATCCCTGTGTGATCTTCCCTCTCCCGGCAGATGAGGATGCCAGTGGCTCTGGAGAAGGACAGCACTATGCAGATGACTGGATGGCTGGGGCAGCAGCTGTGGGCCCCCCAGCCCGGCCTCCACGCCCTCCTGGCCGCAAAGGAGGTTTCATCACCCGCCAAAACCAGGGCAGGAGCAGGACTGGGGGGGCATCTGTTGGTTTTCACACCCAACCCATTCTCATTTTCTTTCTCTCAGCCTTGGCCCTCCTTGGACCTCGATAACAGGGGAGGGGTGCCCTGGCATCAGAAGGGTTTATGGCCCTTCCCCTCCTCCCTGCTCAGCTGGGCCTAGGGAGGAGTTGAAAGGGGCTGCAGAGAGAGAGTTGAGAAGGGATTTTTGGGTGAATGGCTAGGGCCCCAAATCCAGGAGATTCCCATTGGGGTTGGGTGGGTGGGTGTTCACAATATTTATTTTTTCATTTGGTATCAGGGTGGGGAGGGGCTGGGGTATTTATTTAGGAAGGACTTGTGCTCACTCCAACCAAGCCTGTAAGGTTGGGCTCTGGTCATCAGCCTCAAGGAGGAGAAAGGGAAGATTTTTAGAGTGACAGTGTGGGGTAGGGTTTGAAGGAAGTTGGAAGTGGGGAGTGGTGGGGTCACCTGGTCTCAGAAATGGACAAAGCTGGGTGCTGACAGGGTACAGTGCAGGGAAATTGGGTATGTGAATAGTATGTCAGGATCTATGGGCCTCGGTTCAATGAGTTTTTTCAGTATCAATTTCTTTTTTTTAATCCTCACCCGAGGATATTTTTTTCCATTTATCTTTAGATAGAACGGAGGAAGCGGGGGGGTGGGGGTTATCGATGTGAGAGAGACGCATTGATTGGTTGCCTTCTGCGCAACCCTGACCAGGGTTGGGGACAAACTGCAACTGAGGTACGTGCCCTTGGGTGGAACTGAACCCGCGACTCTTCGGTCCATGGGCCGATGCTCCAACTGCTGAGCCAAACCAGCCAGGGCAGTATCAATTTCTTAAACTAAAACAAAAACAACAACAACAAAAAAGATTCATGATCTATGCCATCCACATCCTTCACAAATTTTGCATTTTACAAATAAACAACTAATTTATTGGACCCTGAGTGTGACTTTCTGTAACGTCAGCAGCCCTCCCTGGGCCCTGGATCCTTGCAGAGGTCCTACAGCCGCTAACAGCTTGTTTTCTGCTTGTTTCTCACCAACCTTGTATCCTGTCCCCTGATACTGAATTTGGGCAAGCTGTTCACCCTCTGGTTCTGAGAACCTTCATCCGTAAAATGGGGAGAAATGTGAGGAACAAATAGGACCTGTGTGAGGAAGCACCTTCTCACTGGCAAAATTATTTTTGAACATGAGGCATCATTAATATTACCACAGCATTGCCCCTTGCTTTCAGGACAGGGCTCCTGTTCTCTGTGTGTCAGCCTCTGGCTACCTTGTCACAAGTTCTTGACAATATCTGCTTTCAACTCTTGTCTGTTACTTTCTCCTTTCTTTCTGTTTCCTGAATGAGTCTTTTGTTCTGTAGAAAGCAGAGAAAGAAAAAGTATAAATGATTCTTAAGTGTGAAAGGAGGGTAGAAATTGTGTCTTCCAAGGGCCGGCTGGGTGCCCTGACAAGGAAAAGATGCAGGGAGGGAGAAACCTAGAGACTTCATCAGAGCTGAAGCAGCTGCAGGGACTGGCCAGACAAAGGGAGGGAGAGGGGAGGAGCCTGGGCGCTGAGAAAGTTTATGGGGAAAGTTTAGCAGAGCAAGGAACCAGGCGGGCGGTGGCTGGGGAAGGCCAGACCCTGATTACCCTGCTGCTCTTCAGAGGCTTGGTGAGTAGGCAAGTGACATATAGCCAGTGGAGGGACTCCAGAATTTATGGGAGGAGTTTTGGTAGGGGGGTGGTGTCACCAAAACTGGAGGGGACAGGGGGCTGGAATTAAGGGTAATGGGAGGAGACAGATGGGTGGAAGGAATTGAAGAAATTTGGACACAGGAGTCCGGTGCAGGGCTGGATCCTGGGGGGATTGTTGGGGAAAGGATGCCAAAGTGGGCAGGTCTCCAGGTAGCAAGTATGGGTTTCTCTGTCTGGAGTCATTCCTGGCTGTCCTGGAAGGGGGCTGTCCAGGCTTGTTGGAAGGGCTGTGGCCCATGGTTGTGGGTTGTAATCTGAAGGGGTGGGTCAGACTCAGAGTTGATTAGGAAACGGGCCTGGGAAGGAATTCCAAACTCAGCGTTTGTATCTTTGTCTCGCAGTTTCTCTTTCTCCAGCCCCACCCTCTCAGTCTCCTCTGGGTGCACTAGTGGGGTTGAAAAATGGGAATGGGGGTGTGTGGGGGTGTGTGGGGGTTTTGTAAGTAAACCCACATTTCCCCCAGCCCCTCCCACACGGGTCGGCCCTGTGCTGAGAGGAAAAAGAGTTTAGACCAGATGACTGACTCTTACTCATTACAAAGTCACTCCTGTGGTCTCACCTCTCTGGGTTCATCTGTCTGACCCACATTCCCTCTTTATGGCTTTCCAGGAAAATTTTCAGTCTCCAAATGGGGCTCTTCATCCAGATCTGTCACAGACAGCAGCTCAGGAGGGAGCCAGGGCCTGATGATATCCACCTCACTGTCATATAAGCAGACTGGACTGATCTTTCTTGCAGGGCCTCTGTCTTTCTCCCCTTGCCTTCAAAATCCCTGAGGCTCTGGGAGAAACTATAAGTGGGGGTTGGGGAGCTGGAGGCGACAGCAGAGGAGTAATTGTGGGACCACGTAGATCTGGATGTAGAGAGCACCCCTCACCACCACCGCTTCTCGGTGAATTAGTCTCAGCTGCAACAGCAGGAGAGAAGGCTCTACCCTCTCCTTAGACTCCCCTCCAACCCCTCATTTCCCTTCTAGACGCTGACAGAGGCAAAAATCTGCTAACTCGGGGCAGACTCAACCAGGGCTGCATACAGGCCTGGGGAATGACCCCGATCTCAAACCTGTGCCTTCTGCGGCTGCACGGCTATCTCAAGCTGTCTCTGCCTCTGTGCCTGGCCCTTGCCCTGTCACCCTTCCCTGTGCCACATGGGCCCTCTGTCTCCTACCAGGACCATGCGCCTCTGGGGGCCTCGGAGCCTGGGGGTGGCTTTGGGAGTCTTCATGACCATCGGATTTGCTCTCCAGCTCTGGGGGGGGCCCTTCCAGAGGAGGTGAGTTTCATCTTGTTCCAAGGCTTGATAGATGCCCCCATTTGCTACTCCCAATCCCACCTGGGGCTGTGACTCCTGGGAACTTGGAGGAGGCTCCACACCCTCTGTCCCTGCTCCATGAGACACCCATCCACCTGCTGGTGAGGGACAGGACACTTTCCCTCCTGTCTCTCCCCAGGTTACCTGGGCTGCAGCTCCGACAGCCCTGGGTCCCATCCCCAGGACCAGCTGTTCCATCCTGTCCTCCTCGGCAGCGACTGGTGTTCCTGAAGACACATAAATCTGGGAGCAGCTCTGTGCTGAGCCTGCTTCATCGCTATGGGGACCAACGTGGGCTGCGCTTTGCCCTCCCTGCCCGCTACCAGTTTGGCTACCCAAGGCTTTTCCAGGCCTCTTGGGTCAAAGGCTACCACCCTCAGGGTGGAGACACCCAGCCCCCCTTCCACATCCTCTGTCATCACATGAGGTTCAACCTGAAAGAGGTGAGGGGTGTAGAGGGTATGGGAGGGACTAGAGAGAGATGGGATCAGGCCTGTGGCCAAGACCATCAGTGGAGGAGGCCCCAGGCATGGGGGCTCCCCGGGTGTTACCTTACCCAAAAGTTGGGCATGGGGGCCACAAAGGTGAAATTTCCTGTTCTCTCCTCATCTGTTCCTTACCCAGTAGTTTCTGAGAGCTGAAGTCCTGCCCCCTCCCATCTGGTACATACTCCAGTCTCCTTTCTTGACTAATTTATCCAGCTCACGTCAGCACCCTGCCAACTCTAAATCCCACCCCCAAACTCTCCCTCCAGGTGCCCCTTGCCCTTCTTGGCCCCTTCCATTGATATTACCAGGACCTCTGCTAAGCTACTGCCCTCTCACCTGTCTTTTTCTCACTCCCCTCACCATGTCTGCCAGATTTTGGGATCAGGTACATGCCAAGCCATAGCCTATCTAGCCCTGACACACTCAGAGCATCAGTTCTAAAGGAGGAGATGGGAGCATGGACTCACATGCTCATCCGAACACACACAGAAACCTGAGAGCTCTTGGAAGGAGAAAGTCAATGTGCAAATGAAAACATACAGGGAAGGGACTAACTTTTATTGAATACTTCCTGAGTTCTAGGTATTAATCTTACCATCACCTTGCCAGGAAGGCATTATAAGTGCCTCCATTATACAGAAGAGGAGGTTGAGACTCTGAGAGGCTAAGTGACTGGTTTTTGTTAATCAGGTTTGAACCCAGGCCCATCTGCTCCAAAGTCAAAGCACCTTCCATGGCATGTATGCATATGCATGTTCATATTTGGAACTGTGGGGACAATATTCATCAAAAAGAGGTGGGGCTTTCTGAAGAGATAGGTTTTATATATTTATTTTAAATTATTTTTTGTAATCCTCACCTGAGGATATTTTTTCATTGATGTTTTTAGACAGAGTGGAAAGGGGGGGAGGGAGAGAGAAACACTGATGTGAGAGAGACACGACTGGTTGCCTTCCACACCACTGCGATCAGGGCTGGAGATTGAACCTGCAACCCAGGTATGTGCCCTTGACCAAGAATCAAACCCAAGACCCTTGGGTACGCTCTAACCACTGAACCAAACCAGCCAGGGCTGGAGAGAGAGTTTTAAACAAAAGGGTGGACATGATTTTGTAGTAAGGAGAACACTAGGCATTCATAGAGGGAGAAAAATATCAGCAAAGACATTGTGGTGTGATGCATGTGTCAGGTGTGTGTGTGTGTGTGTGTGTGTGTGTGTGTGTGTAAGATGGCAGAACTTCAGTGGGGGCTGCAGATGCACTCCAGATTAAGCCAGAGCTGGAGAAAACAGCTGAGGAACATGGGTGTGATCTAATGGGCAGCAAAGGCCCACTGTTGGGAGTGAAGCAATGACAATGATCTTTGAGGCAGGTTTCTCCAGAGGTTAGGATGATGACCTTCATCGTCACCACCATTCATTGAATACCTATCGTGTTCCATGTATTTCCACATTCTTCAAGGTAAGTGTTAACCCAGTTTTATAGATGGGGGAATGAAGGCTCTAAGTTCAATAAATTGCTCAAAGTTACATAACTGGTAAATGGCTGAATTGGGATTTTATTTTAGGTCACTGATGCCACAGATTGTTCTCTGCACTGTTCTCTTCTTCCTTCAAAGAGACACACAGTTCTGCCCTGCAGGCATGCCCATATTGGCAGAGCAGATTGGAGAGCATTGTGTCAGAGAGTCAGGTTCAATGATGGTCATTTTCAGAGGCAAAAACCCTTCAGGGAGCCCAGGAGCTGGCTTCTCATATGCATTTGCCTGGCTCAGCCTGATTCCCACCTTCCTTCTTGCAGAGAAGGGGGACTGAATGTCCCAGACCTCAGGGCTACCAGGTGACCATGGCTCCCCAGTGGCCAGTCCACAGGTGTCTTTTGCTCTCCAAGATGCCCAGGAGCCCCGGAAGTGCCCTGCCCATCAGCCATCCTGGGCTTGTCTGCCCACCTGACACCTATACCCGAGATAGCTTTTTGATTGCCCTGTCTTCCCACTTTGCTGCCAGTGATCCCCACCCCCACTGAGGAAGCCTAAGACCAGTTTCTTTCTTGGAGTGGTGACCAAGAGTCCCAGGGTAAGCACATAATAGTTTTTTGTTGGAGAAGTGAACACAAAGTTTGCTTCTTAGAAGTTTTATTGACCAAAGCAGACAGAATTGCCAAAGGAAATACATGTTCTCTAGGAGTTTTCCACATTGCAGATTCCTTCATATCCTTTATCCCATGTAACCTCCATAATCAGCTGGGAAGGAAACTATGGGTATCCCCATTTTGTAGATGAGCAAACTGAATCTCAGAGACATTAGTAACCTGCCCAAGATCTGTCAGCTAGTGAGGAAAGCTGGGGGTTCCTAGTAGAGCTGTCAGGAGGAGGTATGAGGAGGCTGGGGGATCTGTGGACATTGGGCTTGCGCTTAGTTTCTTCCTGGCCCAGTTCTTTCTCCCTATGTCTTTTTTTTCTTCTCTGCAGGTACTTCAGGTCATGCCTTCTGACAGCTTCTTCTTTTCCATTGTCCGAGACCCAGCAGCTCTGGCCCGCTCTGCCTTCTCCTACTATAAATCCACCTCATCGGCCTTCCGCAAGGCGCCTTCCTTGGCCGCCTTCCTAGCTAATCCTCGTGCCTTCTACCGACCTGGGGCCCGTGGGGACCACTATGCACGAAACTTGCTATGGTTCGACTTTGGTCTCCCTTTTCCCCCAGAGATGAGGACCAAGAGAGGATATCCTCATCCCCTCAGAGATCCCAACCCTCCTGAGCTGCATGTCCTGCCTTCTGGCACTGGCTCTCGAGCCCATACCCTGGATCCCAATACTCTCTTTCATCCTGCTCCCTTTGCTGCTGATGGTCACAGCCAGTTATCCCACTCTGCTGCTTTAGATTTGGGGTCTTCGTCCTTCATCCAGTGGAGTCTGGCCTGGCTAGATTCTGTCTTTGACTTGGTCTTGGTGGCTGAGTACTTTGACGAGTCACTGGTTCTGCTGGCAGATGCCCTATGCTGGGGTCTAGATGATGTGGTGGGTTTCATGCACAATGCCCAGGCTGGAAGTGAGCAGGGCAGAAGTGCTGTCAGCAATGGTGGACTTACCGCTGAGGACAGGCAGCTAACTGCACAGGCTCGAGTCTGGAACAATCTGGACTGGGCTCTTTATGTTCATTTCAACAGCAGTCTGTGGGCACGGATAAAGCAATACGGCCAGAGTCGGCTAGAGAGTGCAGTGGCGGAGCTCCGGGCTCGCCGAGAGGCCCTGGCTAAACATTGTCTGCTGGGGGGTGAGGCTTTAGACCCCAAATACATCACTGACCACCGGTTCCGCCCTTTCCAGTTTGGGTCAGGTAAGGTTTTGGGCTATGCACTTCGGAGTGGACTGAGCCTCCAAGACCAGGAAGAGTGTGAGCGCCTGGCTACTCCGGAGCTACAGTACAAGGACAAGCTAGATGCCAAGCAGTTCCCTCCAAAAGTGTCTCTGCCCCTCAAGACTTCAAAGCTACTCTCCCCTTAGGCATTAGATCACTGAGTCTTAGGTTAAAGAACAGCTAAGCTACAAGACATATATGATGGGTGTGGGGCAGCCAGATGACATTTCTGCTTCCCGCAGAAAGCAAGTCTGCTCCCTAAGGATGAATGGAACTTTGCACGGATGAGGGCCCAAAGTCCTCCAGGCTGTGCTATGGAATCCAGTCCATCAGCTCCTAGCAGCACTCCTATACCCTCGATTACCCCTCCTCCTTTCCAGCCTCCTGGCAGGTTCATGTAGCACTCTCAAAGGCTCCCTGGTAGCACTCTCAAAGGCTCCCTGGAGGAGCAAACCATGGTATGAACCAGAGAAAGTTTGGGACACGGTGGATTGGAATAATCCGTCCATTTCTCTGTAAAATATTTGTTACTGAGTTATGCTCATTTCATTGTGAAATGTTTGTTGAATGAATAAATAATTGGAAACTTGGACTTGCTTTATGTAGGGCAGGAAGGGAAAGGGATGGAACATCTTTCTGGGAGAAAGAGGGGTGGAGGGGATTCTTTCAATATTACATCTCTAAAAAGTCTGTCTAGAGTCTCTCCTAGATCCTTATTGCAGAAGCCTAACCGCAGCTGAACCCCGCCCCTCTCCTCCAGAGTCCGATCACCCTCAATTCCGTAGCCTCACAGGCCACGCCCCTTCCCTTCCGCTTCCGGCTTCTCCAGTCATTCGGCTCTGCTTTAGGTTCCGGCCCCGCGGGGTCTCGGTTCCGGGTTCGTTGTCCCGGTTCCCGGCCCCGGGGGGTCTCTTTGGGCCGGCCCAGCCGCGCGCAGTCCCGGTAGGGTGTCGGGACTCCCCGCTACCCCAGCAGCTGGCTCTCCACCACCCCGGCCCGCGCAGTCCTCGCCGCCCCATGGAGTCCCAGTGCGACTACTCGATGTACTTCCCCGCCGTGCCGCTGCCGCCGCGCGCGGAGCTGGCGGGGGACCCGGGCCGGTACCGGGCACTGCCCCGGCGCAACCATCTCTACCTGGGGGAGACTGTCCGCTTCCTGCTGGTGCTTCGTTGCCGGGGGGGCACGGGCTCCAGCGCCGGGGCTAGCCCGGGCTTGGGCTCTCGAGGGGCCTGGGCAGAACTGGCAACCGCCCTGGCTGCCCTGGCCTCGGTTAGCGCCGGAGGCGGGGCGCCCGGGGGCGGTGGCTTCGGTGACCAGGATCCTGAACCCCCAGGGGGCGGGGATCCTGGCGGTGGGGGGTTGTTTCGAGGCTGCAGCCCCCTTCTCACCCACGGCCCGAGCCCTGCTACCTCAGGGGTAGTGACCACGGTGAGGAGCTGGGGTGACATGGCACTGGCCTGGGGTGATTTGCTAGGCTCCAAAGGCCGGGGAGGAGGGGAAACAGGAGGGAAGCTGGGGGCAGATGACGAGTGAGGAGAGGGGAGGGCAAGAACCAGACACCTCTTTAAGAGAACACCGCGGGCTGCCTCTCTCCTGACCTTTTCACCCCTTTCACACCCCCAGCTGCCTGTGGAGGAACCAATTGTGTCCACAGATGAGGTCATCTTCCCACTCACTGTTTCACTGGATAGACTGCCCCCAGGGACACCTAAGGCCAAGGTAAGACTCAAGGAGTGGAGCTGAGCTGTCGTCCTAATTCAGATGTCCTCTCTAAGGCTGGCTGGTTGTCTCCCCTTGACTGTGGCCCTGTGTCCCCTTGTGCTCAGATTGTAGTAACTGTGTGGAAACGGGAGGTTGAAGCACCAGAGGTCAGAGATCAAGGCTACCTGCGCTTGCTGCAGACCCGATTTCCTGGGGAGACCTTCAGGGGAGAGCAGAGCGCATTCAAGGCCCAAGGTTGGGAGAATTCAGGGGGAAAATGCTGGAATCTGGAACTTGACGAATATAATGGAGGGATGATATTGGCAAGTGCCCTATCTGAAAAGAGAAAGATTAGAACTGTGGGTTGGAGGTGAAGTCTGCCCAGCCCATCAGCTCTTGCCTCCGCCCTCTTCCGCAGTGAGTACCCTGCTGACTCTGCTGCCCCCTCCAGTTCTGAAATGCCGCCAGTTCACTGTGGCTGGAAAACACTTGACTGTTCTCAAGGGTGAGCAGATTGGCGGCACAGGTCTTGGGTAGCAGCAAGGGCACCTCCCTGTGCAGGCTGGTGGGGATAGGTCCAATTTGGGGGGGATTAGGTAGAGTATGAGGGGTCCAGATAATCACCAAGCTGAGCTGGTTACCTTCGACAGTGCTGAACAGCTCCTCCCAGGAGGAAATTTCCATCTGGGATATCCGCATTCTCCCAAACTTCAATGCCAGTTATCTACCTGTCATGCCCGATGGCTCTGTGCTGCTGGTGGACAATGTCTGGTGAGGTCCTAGGGAGGGGCAGGGCTGTGAAGTGGTGGGGCTGAGAGCTCTGACATGGAAAGATCCAGCTCTCCTCTTTCTTCTGTACTAGTCACCAATCTGGGGAGGTCTCCATGGGCTCCTTCTGTCGGCTCCCTGGTACCTCTGGCTGCTTCCCCTGCCCACTCAGTGCCCTGGAGGAACACAACTTCCTATTTCAGCTGAGAGGGAGTGAGCAGCCACCTCCAGGGGCCAAGGATGTGAGTATAAGGAGCTGGTGATTTCAAGGAAAAAGGTTAAGAAAATGCAGTGGGAGGGAAAGGCCAGGGGGTACCGAAAGATGAGAGGGAATCTCATACAAAGGATGGTTCCCTCTGTCCCTCCCACAGGGTCTAGAAGTCCCCCTGATAGCTGTGGTTCAGTGGTCCACCCCAAAACTGCCCTTCACCCAGAGCATCTACACCCACTACCGGTGAGTGTGTGGGTACCACCCTGTTCACCTTTGTTTCAAAACACATACATCCTGCTTTCTTATCTCACTGCTTCTAGCCTGCCCAGCATTCGCCTGGACCGCCCGTGCTTTGTGATGACTGCTTCTTGTGAGTCCCCAGTTCGGACCTATGAGCGTTTCACGGTCACTTACACGCTGCTCAACAATCTCCAAGACTTCCTTGCTGTGAGGCTCGTGTGGACCCCGGAGCATGCGCAGGCTGGTAGGCTGCTGCCAGGCTGTACCCTTGTACCAAAGGAGGGGAGGGGAAAGGAAGAAGTCATGGAGGTGGGTGACGTATGGCAGGCTGCTTTGGCTCTATAACTGGGTGGTCTCCAGTGTCACAGATGGAGAGTTTAGAGAGACAGTGAGGCAGAATGACTTAAGAGCACTGACACTGGTGCTGGTTCCCTGGTATGTTTGACTTCTGCTTCTATCATTTACAAGCTGTGTGACCCTAGGCTGGTTACTTAACTTCTCTGAGCCTCAAATCCCTCATCCCTAAAAATGGAGAAAGTAATACTGCTCACCCTGCCCCCACGAGGTTATTAGGGTGATTTAAAGATGTAATGTATATGAAGTGGTTAGACCTCAGCACATAATAAGTATAAGCTGTTATTTATTTTATTTTATTTTTGTTAATCCTCACCAGAGGATATTTTTCCATTGATTTTTAGATAGAGTGGAAGGGAGGGAGGGAGAAACATTGATGTGAGAGAAACACATCAATTGGTTGCCTCCTACACAATCCTGACCAGGGCTGGAAATCAAACCTGCAACCCAGGTACATGCCCTTGACCGGAAATCGAACCTGAGACCCTTCGGTCCTCAGGCCAGTGCTCTAACCACTGAACCAAACTGGCTTGGGCTAAGATGTTATTTATAAAATTTGGCAAAAGATATACTCAGTTTACTCCACAGGATGACTGGGGATCAAACAAGACTGTGCTCTGGGAAGCCCCTTCCTGAGAAACACTGTACAGATGTGTTTACTAGTGGCTGTTTCTGCCCCACCCCCCAGGAAAGCAGCTGTGTGAGGAGGAGCGCAGGGCCATGCAGGCTGCCCTAGACTCCATTGTCTGCCACACGCCCCTCAACAACCTTGGTTTTTCCCGGAAGGGCAGTGCACTCACCTTCAGTGTGGCCTTCCAGGCTCTAAGGACAGGGCTCTTTGAGGTAGGCTGGGGAGGCACTGGAGAGGGGCTGGATAGTGTGGTGGGTGATACAGGATGTCAGTATGGGAGGCATCAGGGCTGTTAGCTTCTGGAGATGAAATATAATGGGTGGCACTAAAAAGCCAGGCTGAGGGAAAGTGGAATTTAGATTCAACACTGTTCTGTCAAGGGGGAAGATGATTTGAAAGGAGGTCTGGGGCCTGGAAGCCAAGTGGGAATGCTAATCTGTCTTTCTACCCCAGCTGAGCCAACACATGAAACTGAAGCTGCAGTTCACTGCTAGTGTGTCCCACCCTCCACCTGAGGCCCGGCCCCTCTCTCGAAAGAGCAGTCCTAGCAGCCCAGCTGTCCGGGACTTGGTGGAGAGGCACCAGGCTAGCCTGGGCCGCTCTCAGTCCTTCTCCCACCAGCAGCCCTCCCGCAGCCACCTCATGAGGTATGGAACCAACGGAGGGGTTCCACTGGACTCTGGTAGAGGCCAGAATTGGAGAGGGAGCAGGAATAGGTCCTGAGTTCTAACCAGAGCCCTCTGCTTTCCCCCAGGTCCGGCAGTGTGATGGAGCGCAGGGCCATCACACCTCCTGTGGCCTCCCCGGTTGGCCGCCCCCTCTACCTGCCCCCAGAAAAGGCTGTGCTCTCTTTGGACAAGATTGCCAAACGCGAGTGCAAAGTCCTGGTGGTGGAGCCTGTAAAGTAGCATCTTGCCAGCTCTCTTACACTCCCAGAAATCAAATGCCTCCAGAGGGGATCCTTGTTCCAGGCTCTGCCTCCCTAGGGATGCCTCCCACTGTGGGTGAGGAGGCCCAACAGGGTGGCCTGTCTATGTCTGTTGAAGAAGCTGTGAAATGGGTGGGTATGGCTGCAGTACTAAACCAACAGTATTTCCTTGAATTCCTGGGGGGGCTGGCCCCACCCCTTGGTCAGGGCAAGGGTTCTAAGAGCTCCCTTGTTCCCCTGCCTTGTTCCCTGGTTCTAAGTTTACAAAGTATTTTCTCCTTTCTATTAAGTTGTTTTTCCTGCCTCTGATATTCCTTCCCACCTACTCACCCCAGGGCTGAGATTAGAGGGTGGTGATGGTAAAGGGACCCAGACAATGACCCTCCTGTCTCAGAGGTGAGGGGTGATAGCTAGGTGGCCTTCTCCTGCCCTTCATGTTTACGTTTGCAGCCTGAAGCACTTTAAGTTGTGTGGGGGTTTTTTTTGGGGGGGGGGGGCTGTAACTTATTCTCCAACTACTGCTTCCAACTGAAATAAGACTATTAAATGCCTGTTCAGCAGGGAGAAGAATGACTGTTGTTTGTGTGTTGATGAAAGGAGCAGAGATCCAAGGGCTCAAAATGATTCCCTTCAGCATGCATACCAAATACTCCTGTCAGCTCCCTTGCCCCATTTTTTTCTTTTGACTCCAAGTTTGATAGTCCAGAGGTGGTTTACCTCTACTCCTCTGGGCTGAATTATAGGACTTGTGTAGAAACACCACCATCACCACCACCAAATACACACATCTCTAGACCTGGGAACATCAGACTTATGTTTATTAGGAAAGAGGGAGGCCCCCTTGTCCTCACTCTCCAGAACACAGCACAGAGTCATCAAGCCTCTGCCCTTCTAGGTAATGGGGTAGGGGGAGAGGGTAAGCAGAAAGCCTTAGTTCTAGCAGCAGGCCAAGAAGAGGAGTTTTGCATCTTCCTTATCACAGAGGCTCACGGACCCAATCCACCTCTGCCTCTTGCCTTTGGCAGGCTCACACATCAATGGGCTCCCGGCCTCGGTTCTGCCTCTTCACCACAAATACCCTCTGTCCCGACACAGTCACCAGCAGTGTGTGTTCTCCAAAGACCACTGGAAGGGAGACACACCTTCCCAAGCCCCAGGAGAGGGAAGGGAGCACAGAGTTAGTGGGGTACAATGGCTTCCATGGGGTCACACAAACTGCCTGGGATCAAGAGCCAAAGAAATTCGATGGTTTGAAGCTCAGAGATCTGAAGATGGGAGGTCTCCATTTAATCCCCTTCTCTTATTTTCTCATAGTTCTGATGCAGGGGTGAATCCCAAAGGGAAGAAAGTGGCTAGAACCAGGGACCTCGGGGAGATGGTGGGAGACGAGTGTTTTTTCCCTCAGGAGAACACCCCACCTTTGGGAGCACCCCACTTCCCATCACCACCACCACCAGGGTACTCACCCGACAGGCGCTTGAAGGGTACGTTCATGCCATGGTTTAGCCGGAAACTACAGGCTGTGCTGACCAGTTCAGAGATGGCACTGGCTGCCTGCTCATCATTCTCTAGTTCCCCAGATGACTGCATGCAGACAGAGGAGGGAGGATGGCAGAAATTAGGGAACAGAATTGGGGAAAGAATTCCGGGAAGTCACTTTGGCTCTCGCACTCTTCCTCTCCACTTCCCAGCACCCCCAAAGGTCACCCCAGTTTTTGAAAAATGTAAAACTTTTCTATGATGATATTGCCCATCTAGATGCCGTACTGGTCCTCATGATTATACTGGAATTCCCCCAATGAGCAGTGAGTCATCCATTTCTTTATTGACCATTCTTTTCTAATCCTTTGAAACTCGATTTCTCTCCCTGTCCCGATTTATTTGATAAAACCACATTTTCAAACATCAGTGCCTACCCACCACTGACTTCTTCAAGTCTCCATATTTTTCTCAGTCTTCCCACTTGTTGTCCTGTCTACAGAATCTGAAACAAATATCCCTTTGTCCTTGACCCCCTCCCCACCTATTATCTAGCCCTTGGGTAATGAGTCACAGTGGCTTGGGCTTCCTCTTTTGTGGTGACTGTCACAATTTCTTCCTACTGCCTTGATATGAACCTCCCACTAGGTTAAATTCAGTGCCCTTTGCTCTCTTGGACATTCTGTACCTCAGTTTCCTCATCTGTTGGAGACAACAGTACCTATCTTATGGGCTCATGAAGGTTACGTGAGATAATGTTGGTGAGATGCTTAGAACAGCTCCTAGCAATATATATTAACTGCTATTATTCTATGTCAAACTCAATGTCTAAAGTTAAGCCATCAAAATTCTCCCTTACTTCTCCCATTCCTCTATCAACTTCCTTTAATAATTTCCTATTAAAGGCACATTATTCTAGGCTTGAGCTTAAAAGTCTTAACTGAGTGGAGAAGTATCTCCTCTATTACCTATCTCTAGTCATTACAAAGACATATTTTTAAAAATTTTTTTTATTAATTTGTTTTTGTTACAGATGTTTCTCATTTTCCCCCCATTGACACCTTCCTCCCCTTCCCCCCTGCCCCATCCCCAGTTTTGCTGTCTATGTTCATTGGTCACGCATACATGCATGTAAGTTCTGTGGTTTATCTCTCCCCCCCCCCCCGGCCCCCCTCCTCGGAGGCTTGTTAGCCTCCTGGGTTAATTTTGTTCATCAGTTTGTTTAGTTCATTATACTCCACAAATAAGTGAGATCATGTGATATTTGTCTTTCTCTGCTTGGCTTGTTTCGCTTAGCATAATACTTTCCCGGTCCTTCCATACCATCTCAAAGGATAAGAGAGATCTTTCTTACAGCTGCATAATATTTCATTGTGTACATGTACCACAGTTTTTTTATCCACTCTTCTACTGATGGACACTTGAGTTGTTTCCAGATCTTAGCTATTGTAAATAGTGCTGCTATGAACACAGGGGTACATATATTCTTTCTGACTGGTGTTTCAGGTTTCTTAGAAGTGGGATCACTGGATCAAATGGCCATTCAATTTTGAACTTTTTGAGGTAATACCGTAGTGTTTTCCACAGTGGCTGCACCAGTTTGCATTCCCACCAGCAGTGTACTAGAGTCCCCTACAAAGACATACTGATTCTTCCTTTAAATTCTCTTCTCTCCTTGCTCCTTCTTATTGCCAGCAGTCCAAACTCATATGTACATTTCCTTCCGCAGCCACCTTTCTGCTTCTGGATCCCTCCCTTTCTTGCCCATCTTCACACCTAATAGAACAATTTTGCTTCACTATTTCAGCAGCTTATGTCTCTTTTCAAAAATTCTTCAGCCCTGGCCGGTTTGGCTCAGCAGTTAGAGCGTCAGCCTGCGGTCCAGAAAGACCCGGATTCGGTTCCTGCTAAAGGCACGTACCTCGGTTGCAGTTTGTCCCCGGCCCTGGCTGGGTTGTGTGGGTGGCAGCCACTCCATGTCTCCCTTTCACATTGATGTTTCTCTCTCTCCCTCCCACTCTATCTGAATAAAAAATGGAAAAATGTCCTCAGGTGAGGATAAAAAAAAAAAAAAATCCTTCAAAGCTCCTATTACCCTCAAGATTACCCATCTTGAAAGTCCTCCACAATCAGATCTTCCCTTACCCATACCCTTTACTTACCCTAAACCTTTCCAAATTTTTTCAACATTAACCCACCATCAACTCACAAATATATCCACCTCTCAGCCCTCTCTTCTGCCTGTTCACAACCATCCATCCTCTAAGCCCAGATGAATTTTTATGTCCTCCAAGGATTCCTTGTCATAACACAAGTTATAACCTTAACGGTTGAATCCTTCATTTTTCTGGAAGCCTTCAGTAGTCTTTATCACTAGCATTACTTTCAACTTTTAACCTTAAGCCTTGTCTCTAGCTAGATTAAAACTTCCTGAGAGCTGCCCTGGCCGGTTTGGCTCAGCGGTTGGAGCATCAGCCTGCGGTACAGAGAGACCCGGGTTCGGTTCCCGCTAAGGGCATGTACCTCGGTTGCAGTTTGTCCCTGGCCCTGGTTGGTCGTGCGGGTGGCGGCCACTCGATGTGTCCCTTCACATCGATGTTTCTCTCTCTCTCTCTCCCTCTCTCTCCCTCCCGCTCTATCTGAACAAAAAATGGAAAAATGTCCTCGGGTGAGGATAAAAAAAAACAAACAAAAAAAACTTCCTGAGAACTAACACTATATTGTACTATGTAACAAAATACAAAGCCTCTTCAATAAATACCAAATAAAGACATATTCGAAAATAACTTGGGTAATATCAGTTATCAACAAACCTGTAACTAGTTGTCTCACTTTGGTAAAATTAGTAAACGCTTTTACCTCAACAGTTACCAAACTAAGATTCTAGAGATTAATTAAGAGCTTACTATATGCCAGGCATGATACCAATTGAGACCAAGAATAGCGGGAAATTAGGCAAAACTGGGCAATGTGTACTTGGGGGAGGGGGGGGCTTCCCTTGCCCAGAACGCACCGCCAGCACAGCGCCTTCACTCAGCACCAGGTAGCCGAGCTGATCAGGAATTCGCTCCAGCCCCTGGGTCAGTGCAGAAGTCTAGTGGGTAAAGATGTAATCAGTCAGAAGCATTGCTAGGAGGATGGCCCTCGATATTCTTCACCTGCAACTCAAGTCTCATGACCTGCCCCAGACCTTCTCTTTCTCAAGCCAGGGACCTTCCACACACTTTTCCTCTACATGGCTTTGAATGCTGATCTTCTTGAACCTCGATCTGTCCTCATCCTCTGCTCGGGAGCCTTCCACATCCCACCATCGCTACCCCGGAGGCGTTCGCAGCCTCATTGCCCCCTCTCAACAGCCCCTCTCCAATTCCCGGTGTGACTAGCTCCTCCTCCGCAGACTATCCCCTAGGTACCAGACACCCTACCACAGATCCCTCCTCAGCCCTCAACATGGCCACCTCTCCTATCTCCAATCCCTCTGTCCAGGGGCGAATAGGAAGTGAGGCCAGAGTGCCGGCCCAAGAAGGTGCAATCAAAGAGATTGGGGAACAGGTACACAGAACCCCCAACGTGTTCTCCCGCGCATGCGTCCTCACTCACCATTGCAGCCTTAGGTGGTGGGGGGCGCTCCCTACCAGATAGCTAGCTTCCGGAGCCAGACCCAGGTCACGTGCTTCCAGGCGGTCTTCTCCTCCTGCCCTGCGCCTGCCGGACTTCAGTCCCGCCCCCAGAATGAGGATTGGCACTCGATCGCGTCATCAAGCTTAATCTGCCACTGCGGAGAGCCGCTTCTCGTAGACGCAAGCGGATTGGTCGCAGGCCCTCTTTAACACCCATCTCCCCGCCCTCTGCCCCAGAGCTGGAGAAGGAGGGGCAAGTGTTGGCGAAGGGGTGAACGTTGAGGGGCGGGGCCGGAGGGAAGAAAAGGAGGGCCTGCGTGCCGACGGGTGGGGACCAGGGCTTCTGCTTGGGCTAGACTGTCTACAAAGGTGACCACAAAATAATAATGTGAAGTGACGTGACGTGCATGTCAAAAGCTATTCAAATGCTACTGTTACGCTTACTCTAGACAGCCCTCCGTTTAAGACAGGGGTTTGTTCTCTTAACGGTGTTTCTGGGATTCTGTGAGGAGCCCTGTGATGGTGAATTGACTGCCCCGCTGGGCAAGACGGCTTCAATATTGAATACTCTGCCAGGAAAAATTATAAACAGTACCTTGGAGTCATTTTTTTTAAAATGGGTGTCACATAGGAATTTTGTGTTTTAATTTAAATAGTTTCTAGACCTGCTGCAATACTAATGTGACTGAGGCAGTGTCGGTAGATAAAATGGAGGATGATTCTATAAATAAAACAATACGTATTTGTTGGGAGACATGTGGAGAAATTGGGGCCTCATACATTGCTGGTAGGGATGTAAAATGGTGCTACAGTTGTAGAAAACATCCAGTTCCTGGAAAAGTAAAATACAGAGTTACTGTACGTATGACTTAGCAATTCTACTCCTAGATAGCTACCTAAGAGAATTGAAAACATGTTCACACAAAAATTTATATGCCAATGTTTATAGCAGTGTAATTTATAATACCCCCAAATGGCAACAACCCAAATATCCCTAAACTAAAGAATAGATAAATAAAAAATGACATTCATATAATGGATTATTATCACTGTAAAAAAGGAATGGCCCTGGCCGGTTTGGCTCAGCGGTTAGAGCATCCGCCTGCAGTCCGGAGAGGCCCGGGTTCGGTTCCCGCTAAGGGCATGTACCTCGGTTGCAGTTTGTCCCTGGCCCTGGTTGGTCGTGCGGGTGGCAGCCACTCGATGTGTCCCTTTCACATTGATGTTTCCCTCTCTCTCTTCCTCTCTCTCCCTCCCACTCTGTCTGTACAAAAAATGGAAAAATGTCCTCGGATGAGGATTAAAAAAAAAAAAAAAGGAATGAAGTAGTGCTACATGCTACAACACGGATAAACATTGAAAACATTATGCTAAGTTAAAGAAATCAGACACACAAAGCCACCTATTGTGTGATTCTCTTTACATGAAATGTTTAAACTAGACCAAAAACAAGTTCATGGTTGCCAGGGGCTGGGGAGAGGGAGTAATAGGGAGTGACTGCTAAAGGGCATAGGGTTTCTTTTGGGGTGATGAAAATGTTTTGGGATTATATAGTGGTGATGATTGCACAACCTTGTGAATGTGACAACAACTGAATTATACATTTTTAAATGATCAATTATATCTTGATAAAATAAAATTAAGTACTATTGCTTGAGGAGAGAGCTAATTAGAGAAGATGGCTTTTTAATTTAATTTTAAATTTTTATTAATTTATTTTTGTTACAGATGTTTCTCCTTTTTCACCCCTAGACACCCTCCTCCCCATTCTATTCCCCCCACCCCTGAGAAGATGCCTTTTTATATTTATTTATTTTTTATCCTCATCTGAGGACATTTTTGCATTTATCTTCAGATAGAACGGGAGGGAGAGAGGAAGGAAGAGAGAGAGAAACATTAACATGAGAGAGACACATGAATGGATGTCACCCACACGACCCCAACAGGGGCCGGGGACAAACTGCGATTGAGGTTTGTGCACTTACTGGGAACAGAACCCAGGACTCTCTGGTCCACAGGCTGATGCTCTAACCGCTGAGCCAAACCAGCCAGCCAGAGTGAGAAGATGTCTTTTTAAAAAGGAGGTATGTCTAGCCCTGGTTGGTTTGTCTCAGCGGTCGGAGCATCAGCCCCAGGACCAATGAGTCGTGGGTTCGATTCCAGTCAAGGGCACATGCCTCAGTTGCGGTTTGTCCGCAGCTCTCGTTGAAGTTGTGCAGGAGGCAACCAGTCAATGTGTTTCTCTCACGTTGGTGTTTCTCTCTCTGTCCCTCTCTCCCACTCTATCTGAAGATAAATGAAAAATATCCTCGGGTGAGGATTAAAAAATAAAAATAAATCAAAAGAGGTATGTCTATAATGTAAAATTTAAACTGGAGAAGGATGTAGAGAGAGACAGTTTTGTGGAGAAATTTGATTTGCAAAGCCTTCCCTGGCCTTAGTATTGATGACAGTTTATAGTATCTTTTTTGTGTATTTACTGTTTAGAGCATTTCCATCCATGCATTCATCTAACCTTCACATTAGCTACTCTGTAATAGTATCCCTGTTTTGTATATGAGGAAGTGAAAACTCAAGACAGGTTGAGCCTTGCTCACAGGGGCACAGCTGGCAAGTGGCAGAGACAGAGTCCAGTCTAAGTGAGCTGATGCTGAGACTGATGCTTTTTTCATTGCTTCATGGGCCAACTATGTTCCCTGTTATTTTAAGCTATATTTAATATTACTGAATTTCCTGCACTCATTTTTCTTGACACAGAGAAACCCTGAGCAGTTCAATGCTCATTAGCCATTGTTAAAATTGTTTCATTTTCACAACAGCTGGAATCATACTAGTTATGTAGAGGCAAGGTTTCTCCTTCTTTCATTCAACAAATGTTAACTGAGCACCTTCTATGTATCAGACACTCTTTTTGGAATTGGAGGTTAAATTGTGAATAAAACCAAGACATATTTTGTTTTGTTTTGTTTTCAAGGAGTTGTGAGGGAGAGGGTGACCCAGACAATCAATCAATCAATCAATCAATCAATAAGAAAATAGCCCTGTTCACTGGTGTGGTTCAGTGGTTGAGCATTGATCCATGCACCAAGAGGTCGCTGGTTCAACTCCTGGTCAGGACACATGCCCAGGTTGTGAGCCTGATCCCCAGAGGAGGGGCATGTAAGAGGCGGCTAATCAATGTTTTCTCTCATTGATGTTTCGATCTCTCTCCCTCTCTCCCTTCCTCTCTCTAAAATCAATGAAGGAAAAAAAAATTAATAAAAGAAAATAGCCCTGGATTCCAAAATGGCAGCGGAGTGAGTGGAAGCTACACAGACCATCTCCCAGTACCAAACTGGAATTACAACTAAAATACAGACAAATTATCGGGAAAAAGCAACTGAAAAGTAGCTTGAGAGGACCATATAACCAGGAACACTGACTCGATCCTGGTAGGACTGCCGAGGTGTGAGAGAGGGGCTGGGAGCCCATTGACAGCAACAGACTTAGCTCTGAGCAATGCCCTCAAGTTAAATTCCCAAGTGGCTCCACAGTGCATAGCTGGGACAGACGCTAAAATAGCCACAGCCACTCAGCTTGGGCTCCGACAGAGGGAGGGCAGACTGGACTGGAACTGTGTGGGGATGCTTGGGATTTGAAGGGCGCTCAGAGATTTTGCTGAGTTGCAGCCACGCAGGACTGTGCCCATCTTACTCTTTCCCAGGGCTCTGGGGAGAGGGAGCAGCTCCTCCCTCAGAGATTCAACCCCACCCGGTGGACCACTGAAATGCAAATTGAGGGTCATTAACAACCAAGCATCTGCCCCACCCTTGGGAGATCCCATTACACTGAGCACCTGAGGGAGTTTTTCATTCAACTGAGACCCTAAGGCTCTTCAAATAACCACTACTGATAGCCTCCAGGCAAAACACTGGAGGATAACTGAACCATTCCGGGGCTAGTAACTCTAACCAAGTAAGTAAGACTTGACAGTGGTGTTTTGCTTATTTAAACCAAGGAGAGGGAGCCACAAACAGCAAAACAACACCACCACAGGGAGAATTTGGCAGGCTCCAAAGCCCACTGTGATAGGCCAGAAGGGAATGGCATGAGGTAATCAAGGTCATGAAAAACAAGGATCTGAATCCAAGACTACTCTACCCAGCAAGGCTATAATTCAAAATAGAAGGTCAAATAAAGAGCTTCCCAGACAAAAATGGCTAAAGGAATACATTAGCATCAAACCAGCACTGCAAGAAATGTTTAAAAGGACTGCTGTAATTAGCAGGAGAAATAGGAAGAAAAATAGAACCACACTAAACAAAAATAGCAATAAATAAGTTACATATCAATAATCACCTTAAATGTAAATGGATTGAATGCTCTGATAAAACTACACAGAGTAGCTGATTGGATAAGAAAGCATGACTCATCTATATGTGGTTAACAAGAGACACACCTTACAACAAAAGACTCACATAGGTTGAAAGTGAAGGGATGGAAAAAAATCTTCCAAGCAAACAAAAAGAAAAAGAAAAAAAAAAAGCTGGGGTAGCATGTGTTTGTCCTTCACACAGAGAGGCCATTGACTGATTCTTCTAAAGTAGGGAAGGGCCGGAATTCCCAAAGTGTCATCATCTAGACATGGAATTGTCGTATCCTAGAGGCAACAAATTTGATGAGAAGGTTAAAAAGATGAGGAGGAGAACTATAACTGCTAGGGGCCCAAGCAGGGGTAAAAACCAGGTAATAGAGGGGAGAGCAGACTTTGTAGCCTCCAGACTGAGCTGGCAGAAGGTTTCCCATTTATTTATTTATTTATTTATTTATTTATTTATTTATTTATTTATTTATGTTTTGTATTTATCTTCAGATAGAGCGGGAGGGAGGGGTGAAAAGAGAGAGAGAAACATCGATGTGAGAGAGACACATTAACCCACACTTTAACCGCTGAGCCAAACCAGCCAGGGCAGGTTTCCCCTTTTAAAGTTATGAAGCCAGGTGGCTTGGTCATAGGCTTTTAAAAATATATTTTCTTTTACTTGATTTGAATAGTTAATGTAAGTGCAGGAGATTTGGTTTATGACTGTGCATACCCCTTTTATTGCTAGTAGGT